AATTTTATAGGTGCTTTTGCCATTCGATGAAACGATTAATTTACCACCCTCAGCAGCTACCGTACCTTTGAAACGGCCATGAGTTGAATCATACTTAAACATATACACCTGAAATGTAATCATTTTATAAATTATCCATTTCTTATCATTACATCACATAGGGCAAATTATTTACTTATGTGGTTTTGATTTATTATGTAAGAAAATTACTTCTTTATGTTTGCATTAAATACGTAAAATTATACTTGCTTGCGTCATAGTTGAATAGTTCACGTTAAGTGCGTAAAATGACAGAATCATAAACACGTTAAATATGCAAAATTATTTATGCAAAATATTTCGGTTCTTATCTATACATGCATAAATTTATTTGTAAAAGTTTGTTTTTTTATAAATTTTCTTTTTTCAATATTTACATATGTGGGCATTAATGGTTGACATTAAACATGCAAAATTACACACTTATAAAACATAAATATGTAAATTAATTAAAATAATTTTAATTAACATATTAAATGATTAAAAACAAGCCATATAATCGATGTTGATGAAGGGATCATTGACAGCCACAACATTGACGGTATCCTTTTCAACCGCCGCTCTCAGGACAAGGCGGCCGATGCGGCCAAATCTATAATTTGTAAATATTTTGAATAAACTTTTTAGACTTTAAAAAAAAAAAAAACTTTTTTATAAAAAAGATCAACGTAAAGCCGAGTAATAATTTTCTTTCAAATATGCGAAAACAAGAGCCTAAAAATGAAACGCGTAATTTACCCATTTATTCCAACCTTTGGCTTGCTCATCTGGATATGGTCCTTAAATAATTCAAATATTAATAAGGCTATTTTCAAAGCATTTTTGTAAATAATTCAAGAAATCTTGAATTCTATCTTCTTTGCTTCCCCCGAGATCTCCCAATGTTCCCATTACCCAATCTAAGATCTTTTATTAAGCAGAGATTATCCTTGAATATGTCACATATCTCTGATAAAAATTCCTATCATATCAATGTTTATTTGTATCGTATAACAATAAGAAAATTATTCTATAAAAATAATTCCTCTTTAACTAATCAATAAGAATTAATCTAAGCTTTCAAAGGAGGATTATCACTTCTTCTTTCCAACTTAACTATTAACATTCCTAGAGCAGCATAACAAACTTTTTAATTTTTAGCTTAAAATTTCTCAATAAAAAAGTTTCTACACAAATAGATGATTTAAAAATTTGAAAAAATTGTTGAAATTAATGAAAACTGTAAGTTTTTCACAGCGCTAATCTGCAAGATGAAAGAGGGAAATATTGAAAGATGTTCCACTTCTCGATCGATACTTTAACAAGAGCATGTTGAAAGGAACGAACCGAGCTATTCTCTGATAAACTGCAACAGTGAAGAAGATATAGCAAGAAGCAATATTTAAAAGGTATTTGGAAAGAATCCAATATGCAAATTTTTCAGTACTCTTTAAAATTTACAATTTGCAATGCAAAATTGCTGGTGAATAAGCATTAGTTTGACGGAAAATTTGTATATTTCTCCCATCGACATAAGGCTATTAAGTCTTAACTTCCTACTAAACGAAATCCATCATTGCCATCTAGCATTTCAATATAATTTCACTTCAAATTTATCTCCAAATCATGAAATTAAAATTGAATTTATAAATAGCCAAGTAATAATGTTGCCGTCATATCTTCGTTAGAATTTTAGTGTCTTATGACTTTTCTGAACTTTCAAGACTTTTTAAATCTTCTTTCTATGGCTCTCGAAAGATTTAAATCCTTTATTTGTAACAATAATTGTTGAAAGCTACAGAAAATATAATTACAATAAAAGAGGACTGTCGAAAGAATTCAGAACAATTCAACTTCTAATGTTCAGTTATGAAAAATCAATGGATATTTATACTATACGAAAATAATGGAAATAATGAGGTTTTTAAAATTGAACATACAATTCAAAATTTGATTGAGTACGCAATGAATATTCAAAAACTATCATTTATAATTATGATCTTATAGAAAACAGGAAAAAAAAAAACATTAGAAGCTCATCAATATTATAGCTTCTTCAGACATCACATTTATTTTAGTTATTTTCTATTATTTCGATTTTGATTATTTGATTTGCGAAATAATTGACGAAGTTCCTTTCGCACATTATCATCGATTTTTTCCAGGATTTTAGCTCGTTCAATTTTCAAACGTTCCAATTGGTCGTAAATTTCCTTAGCTGCTGGCGAAAGTTTCTTCACCTAAAATATCTCACAGTACTAATTCATTTTTATTCATACTTTATAATTAACATTTTCTAACAATTTCGATTGAAATTTCATGCTAAACGTATAGCTAAACCGCTCTATCCCCAACTGTATCATTCTATACCTGTATCATTTAAAACTGTATTATTTAAATAATTGATAAGATCGACAGTAATCAAAAAAAACAAAAATTAATTTCCATTTCTTGTAGAAAATTTAAAAGTAATAAAGTTTGTAATAATGAATATCGAAATATTTACCTTCTCTTCAAATTTCTTTCTTTGATTTTCACGCTCTTTCAAATACTTTTTAAACTCGGCGAGTTGTTTTTTATTCAGAACTTTTTCCGCTAGCATGCTGCAAAATTTGAATGAGATCTTAACTTTGATTTTTCAGAGAATTTTAACAAATCGAGCAATTAAGTGATCTTACTAAAAAAGAAGGAAATTATAAATTTGATTGACATTTTAATCCCAAATTAATAACATTTCAAACGTGGATATTTTCTAAATTTGTACAATTGAAATGCTTACAGAGAAAATTTAACAGCTTTCTTATTTAAGTTTTTTTTTTTCCCCGTACTTATTTCATTTCTAATTTACAACAAATTCTACTATCATTATTAAACGATAATAAAGAGCACTGATGATCAATTGTATTCATTTCTATCGCTAAGTTCACGATACAATTTTAAGCTTAAAGCTTAAGCTTAATTTCCAGTCCGTTCCAATCTCACTTATTAAAAAATTCCCGTCATTCCTTTACCTTTAAACTTTGTACAGCAATTTCAAATTTACAAAAATAACAAGAATAACCTTAATTCTTGCTTCTTCTCATCATGCGTCAACGTTCTATTATGCATGACATCTCGAAACATCTTCCTCACAGCAAGTGGCGCATCTTTGAGAAATAGCGGCGGTCGACCGAACGCTATTGCCCGTACACTGCTTGGTAAATTGTCAATCTAAAATTTGGAGCAATAAATTATCAATATTATCATTTTTTTCTTTTTGAAATTTATAATTGCAAAGAAATAATAGATTAATCGATACAAGCAAAATTTTTCCATGTGCTAAAAAGTATGAGGAAAATTTCCTGAAATTATCAAATAACAGTTTCCCTGAATGTATAAGTTATCAAGATGACTAATTCCACTGATTACTTCCTATCATTTCAAATGGGAAACGGTTTCTTCGGAAAAAATTTCACCAACTAAATAAACAAACTGAAATATCTTATTCGTCATTTTCTACTATTACAATTACTCCTCAAAATAAATTTCCTTGAAAATTCATAAAACGAACAATCTCCTGTGTTTCTTGTCTCTGATCAGTGCAGTCCTCTCCTACTTTATATTCCTTCCATACTGCTAAAACTTCTTTCTTTTCCGCTTCCGGTAAATCATCAACAAATGGCGGTAGACCGCAACTGCCATGATTGGATGATTTCTAAAAATGATTTATAATTAATGAACGGCACAGAAAATAAAT